TTTGGATAAACAAGAAAAGGGCAAATGATAAAAATGGAAAACAGAGTTGGATTTATTGTCCTTCGAGAGCTTCAATTATTCTCCTTCTTCTCCAAATTGCTCGAAGATTCAGTAACGTGACCTCTCTCAGAACAACTTCGTGCGGAAAATTTTGACGAACATTGACGAACATCGGCCAGCTCCGCGCTCCCCCACCTCGATCTGTCGGCAAACAGCTTCACCGGCTGTTGGATCTCTATTCCGACGAACATCGACGAACACCGACACTGAATCTCTATTGTAATCTGTTGGATGGAAGTTTCGGCTTGTTCTTCATTTTTTGAGAAATCTAGTGAATTTGGATTTGGAAGATAATGCTCGTTCTTCATTTTTTACTTTTTGTTTTAATTTTGTAGTTTTATTTATTTTATTTATTTTTCCTACAATGAGTATATATATTTCCACCTCATTTTAATTTTTTTATTGCCATGTGGGCAAAATTATCTTCACATGGCATAATTAGTTTATTAAATACGATTGAAGCCGCCACATCAGATAAAAAATTGCCACATCACGCCACGTCGATTTTTTATCCGGGGTATGGATAAAATAGGACCAATTCTGATTAAATGGACAATTTATAGGACCCATAATGAAAGTGGCCAATGGCGGGGTGCATTTTTGGAAAGTGGCCAAGTTAGAGGACCAATTTTGAAATTTTGCCCACTTGAGCCTATGAAATGCTAGTAATGAACAATTTTAAATAGAATTTTTGACATAAAATATATATCATGAGATAATAGTTTAGTGCTTTAGTGGGCAAAAATTCAGAATTCGTCCTATAATAAGTTGGTCATTCTCCAAAAATCTACCCCGTCATTGACTACTTTCAATTTGGGTAATATAATTTGTCGATTTCACCATCTTTGGTCTCTTTTTATCCGTAACCTGGATAAAAATGTGACGTGGTGTGACATGGCGTTTTCAAATATGACATGGCGTGATGTGACGACTTCATTTAAATTTAAAATTTCGAAGTATGGCAGGTGGAAATAAATTTTGCCATGTCACTGCCAAGTGGAAATAGGCCACAAAATAAAACAAAAAAAAAGGAAAAACCAAAACAATGGTGGACGTCTTGGACCTCTGATGCAGGGCGGCAAGAAAATGAAGCAGGCAGCAAATTAATTCAAGACACGAATTTCAATTCAATTTAATAGTGGGCGAAATAATGTATATGGTGGACGCCTCTGGATTGAAAAGACACTAGGGGTTGGATGGAGGTGGGGTTATGGATACTTTCGGCTATTCCAACAGTGACAGACATGTTTTCCGACGGTTCCGAAGATGGTGGACATATTCTAGTACTAGTGCACGACAGCCCGAGGGGTTCGGAGGTGTCTTAAGATTTTGGTGGGTCGCCGTGAATCTCCGGAAAATTTAAGAAGAATACCGAATTTCATTGAAATCGTTTAGATCTAAAATTTTGACCGAAGCAATTGACAGTCTTATCGGTGAAACTTTTGCCAAATATTTTTTTGGGGATGATGTGGATGATTTAATTTTACAGTCAACATTTCCTAATCCCGCCACATAAGCCATAATCACGCCACGTCACATTTTTATCCAGGGTGCGGATAAAAAGGACCAAATTAAAAATGACCAATTATAGGACCTAAATTGAAAGTGGTCAATGACGGATTGAGTTTTTGGACAGTGGTGACTTATAGGACCAAATTTGAATTTTTGCCATAGTTTAGTGTATTTATTTCATATATGTTTAAAAAAGTTATGATAAATAAGAAAAGTAAGAAAAGGCTGTGAATAATTATTTCAAAACATCGTATATTAACGGGCGATGGCCAACGGTCCTTAATCACGGAATTAAGGGAGGATGGCATTTGATGAATAGAGGGACCAATATGAATTTATACTTGTGAAATACAAATTTCTATATGAAATAACAAAAAGAAATAAAGAACGCACGATTTCGCAGGTCTTGTGGGAGATTGGCGAAGAGAAGATTTCTCCGAAAGTGACAGGAACAATGAGTGATTTTGTTACAATAGTAGTTATGATTTGAGCTAGTATGTGCTCGTATATATGTCGATGTGGTATTCGCCAGTGTTTATTCGTTGTGTGTATCTTGTTTGGTTAAAATGAGGATGCCTTCTTTATACATGGAAAACGCACGTACCTCGTTGTCGGACATTTTTTTGGAAATCGCTGGAATTTCACAGAATTTTCAAATTTTTGAGTTTTGGAAAAAAATCAGGGGAAAAATGGTTCAAATGGTGCGATACGTAGTAATATGAGGCGGTGAATAGTAACGTTCTAACCAAAATGTATACATGTATTATTCACCCACCTACTTTCAATGGTTTTCTTTTAAATTACTTATTACCTTATAATCTTCACAAATTTATTATTATATAAATCTCACAAATTCTACTATTCCTTCACTAATTACATAATATTAATTATATAAATGCTATAGGTACATAATATTGCACATAAGGGTGTACATAACACTTACATTAACCCACCAAAATTAAAAAAATTCAGTGGACCTCACTGTTGGGGTATCACAACAAGCGCAGCGGACAAAAATACCCCTACAACAAATATGACAAGCACTACTCCAAACGAAAATAAGCCAACACAAATAAATAAAAGATGAGAAAGAAAAGAACACAAAAATTGATAACAGAGTTCGGCGAAAATAGCCTACGTCTCCGGGCACCGCCAACCGCAACGCCAAATTTACTAATCTCACTAACAAAATACAACTAGAGTTAAATAACCCACAAAATATTTCCTTAATTAACGATTTCCTTCTAAATAGGAGAGAATAAAATAAGGTGCAATTGTAACCTAAAGGCAAGGGACCTATTTATACTAAAAAGATCTTACACATCTTTGGTACACATCCGATGTGGGACATAAAATTAATCAAAATCTAATAATTCTCCACCTTGACTAATTTTGCTCCCACTCCCAACTCAACTACTAGCGGTGCCTCCAAATGCACCTCTCGGCGCCAACTCAAATATGCAGAATGTTGGTCAAGTCTAAACAATGTTCAAACTTGACTGCTGTCACTATCTTGGTCATGATATCTGCAGGATTCTTCGTCGTCTTGATCTTCTTCAACACAACGGTTCCATCTTCTAGAATCTCCAGCACAAAGTGATAGCGAACATCAATATGCTTCGTTCTTGCATGAAATACTTGATTTTTCGCTAAGTGAATAGTGCTCTGACTGTCACAATGCACTAAGACGTGCTTTTGACCAACTCCTCTTCAAGCAAACTTTAAAGCCAAATAGCCTCCTTCACAGCTTCAGTAACCGCCATATACTCTGCCTCTGTTGTAGACAAAACAACTGTTGACTATAAGGTAGACTTCCAACTGACTGGAGCTTTTGCAAAAGTGAACAAATATCCAGTGGTTGATCTTCGCTTATCCAAATCACCCGCGTAGTCAGAATCACAATATCCAACTACACATTGACCTAATTCATTCTGCTCATAAACTAATCCAACGTCTACAGTACTATGAATGTACCGTAAAATCCATTTTACAGCTTGCCAATGACCTTTACCAGGGTCATGCATATACCTGCTAACAAAACCAACTGCTTGTGAAATGTCGGGCCTTGTACACACCATCGCATACATCAAACTGCCAACTGCATTTGCATATGGGACTCTAGCCATGTACTCTCGTTCTTCATCACAATTTGGCGATAACTCGGCACTTAACTTCAAATGAGGGGCAAGT